GAAACCAAAGGCTCTAAATCTATCGGGAATCCTGGGAAGTTATAGAAAAATTTAGTTGATTGCTGCAAGTCTTAATTAAAATTAATGACAAAAGTTAAGCACAAATTAAAAGAATGGTATAAAGTCTAATGGTATCAGTCTCTTATTAAATTCTTAGTTTTAGTTTTATTTCTTTAATTTTATGTGTATGAGTGATTTGCCTGCACATATATACATATATGTATAAATAGTATATATACATGTGTGTGTACACAATATGTGTGCGCCTATGGAGGTCAGCTGAAGGAGTCAGAAAAGGGTGTCAGATCTCATGGAACTAGTGTTACAGAGGGTTGTAAGCTTCCTTGTGGATACTGGGAAAGGAACCTGGGCTCTCTGCCAGAGAACATGCTTCTAACCACCTAAACTGTCTTCTCCACCCCCCCACTTCTTAATCCAAAAAATCATTTTCTTACATAAAAGTAACTCTGGACAAAGGCATATGTATTGGATTTAGAGCCAAATCCACGCATTGTTACTTGTAATTGTTCAAGATTAAGCACGTTATTCCCCACTGAAGCCACCATCTATATCACCTTAAAAGTGGGAAGATTTCTCGCAGGATAAGCAGAGAAAATGGAGACACTGGGATTGCTCTAAAACAACAACTCAATAAGTGGCAGAAATATGAAAGAAGGAGGAAAGCCTTGCTACATGCTGTTGCTAAGTTCATCACATCCTGCCGAGGCTGTGCACTGTACTAGAAAGTGATGCGAGAAGCACTTGTGGTCCTTTCATTGCTTATTAAGTCCTCCGAACTTGGAATAATTGCGGTTATGATATTGGGTATCCTTGGGGAGATAGGATAGCACAAATCCAAAGACACTGCAGTTTCCTTTAAAATAGCTCTAGGCAATACACATGCCCTAACCATGAAGGCGTGTTGTATGTTGTGAACTAGATGTGTTGGGTTCCATTACCTCACACAAGGTTTATATACCACTTCTAGATAACTTCAAAGAGGGATACATAACAAGGACAGTATTTCCATTAAATAAATCCTAAGTGGAAAGAAGAAACTTAAAGGATAGAAGTAGCTATGTCTAAGTAGTCTAATTTTTACTTGATGTTAACATATGACAGCACAATTACAAAATAATACCATGGTATGTACAATGTAAAATTATTATACAAGCTTATGCATCCTATTGTAAGGATGTTGACTTCTGGGTACAGCCTTTCGTCTACACTTTCAGAATCTTAACGATGGGAGACACAGCTCATGTATGTTCACCCTCAATGTCTCTGTTAACTAAGTTTAAAGTTCAGTACAGTGACTTTATGGCATTCTCAATATAGCTTGCCAGTTTTAAGTAAACTTTCTTATTTTCTGAAGAGAAAGTAGAATTCTTACCATTTTCAAATTTATAATATAATTCATAGGTTTGTTGCTTTAAAAATAGCTTGAAGGCTCTGGATATAAACAATTTTAAAAACTATGTGCATAAGATTGGGGGTGTTCCAATTACATGTATGTATGGAAGTGGGGATATTTATATTACATGTATGTATGGAAGTGGGGGTATCCAATTTCATGTATGTATGGAAGTGGGGGGTGTTCCAATTATGTGTAGACACAACTCTATTATTGGAATTAACAATAAAAATAAAGAAATTATAGTACAGATGCCTTGAATTTTTACAATATTTGAAAATAACAGAATGCCACAGGAAAAGACTGTGCTATATTCAGGAAATGCCATGTGTCAGTAATTTCAAGATGGTTTCAAAGGAAAATCCTGAGTCCTTTGTAAAAGGTGTAGCCAATTATTTATAGTTTAAAAGATAAATGATTGCCGGGTGGTGGTGGCACATGCCTATAATCCCAGCACTCTGGAGGCAAAAGCAGGTGGAACTCTGTGAGTTCAAGGTCAGCCAGGTCTAAAAAGTGAGTTCCAGGACAGTCAGTGCTACACAGTGAAACCCTTTCTCAAACAATAACAGCAAAATGTTATATATGTGCATTTCTTTGTGCTCTTTTAATATTTTAAATGTGTGGCCAGTTAACCTGTTAGAAGTCTTCCATAGAATAGAAAACAAGGATGCAATGGAGTGAGGATATATGCGCATTTGTGCATTTCTCCATGCACACATCATACCTGGGTTTAAGGATATTTTAGAACAAAATGGATGAAAATAAAATGTATGAAATATTTTGGGGGTTACTAAAAAACTAAAATTTTTAAAGAACATTGTATTCTACAATGAAAATAAAAGATACTTTAAGAAGATTTTAGTAAACACAATACATAAAATTTCTGTTTTCTAAAACTGAAATAGCATGTCAGAATAACAGATACATTGATTTTTTTTTCAATCAATCTCCCTGAATTACAACTTGTGGCAAATATGGGTACCTTTTAGATAAACAAAACTAGATGAGGAAGACTTTGGTTTGTTGTCACTTGCTAGACCTACAGCCAGGCAGGGATAAAGGGATTTCCTATGACTGCATACTATTATAATGAAGTCTTGTGCCCATAACACTTGCTTAGACATTCTTCTGAAGCAACTGCTGCTCCTAAGTGAGCAAAGGATTCTCAGAACATCATTGTCAAATGCTATGTAATAATGCTCTCGAAGAGCTGAAGTAATTTGTAGTTTTTGCCATGTCCTCCCATTGATATTGAGAATTTCACATGTGAAAACAAAGTACAGTGGTCATATACTTTGAAAAGCAACTTTTAAGCTTTCTCTAAATGTATTATGACATATAATTTCTGATATTCCTAACTTTTGCCACAAAAAAATAAGAAATATTTAAGACTATCCCATAATTGAAAATACAAAGAATTTTAATTCCAATATTGAAATGTTGACACATATAGAATTAACATTATTGCATTAATTTTAAGGTGTTAACATCATGTAATATTTGAAATCGGCGACAATATCCCTTACATCCATATAAGTTGATTATGACTTTTAGTTGTAACAGTTATAAAAATTTCCTTACATACCTCAGGAACGGAAACTCCTGCCGTGGGCATAGTCTGCAGAAAAAGAGAAGTTTATATAAAAGCCGAAAAACCAAAACTGGAAATAGAGCACCTATGATTATCACCACACACCATATATCTGGAAGTAGAACACCTATGATGTCACCACACACCATGTATCTGTGGGCTCCATGAACTGGAACTACAGTCTCTTCACGGATTTTTGTTTGTTTGTTTTCCTAAATTAAATAAACGGATATCTTTTAATCAAGCAAGGATACTCAAAACAAAATATGTTAGACTGTGAAGTGACTTACCCAAAGGATGACTTTATTTATTCAGACTACATTGATAAACATTCCTGATAACTATGCATACTTCCACTGCCTTTGCGCATATACATATAATTTTTACAGGGATAATTTTATTACTATCAATTTTATCATTAGCTCAATCATTAAAAATAGTTTATCTTTTATTAAGACAGATTTTTCATACAATGTATCCTTATCACAGTTTCCCCTCCTCTACTCTTCCCAGTGTCTCCCCACCGCCCCTCCCATCCACATCCCCCTCTAGTCCCATTAGGAAACAAGCAGGTTTCTAGGGGATAATAATAAAACTAAAAACAAAACAAAATAAAACAAAACAGGACAAAGCAACTAAACAGAAGGAAAAGAGGTTCAGCAAAGGCATAAGAAACAGACTTAGACACAAGTTATGCACTCATGTGCACACTCAGGAATCCCATAAAAACACAATATCAGAAGCCAGAATATACACAAAGGCCCTGTGGGGTGAATATGTGTGTGTGTGTGTACATATATATATATATACATATATATATATACATATACATATATATATATATATATATATATTAAAAATTAGGATACTCAGATATAACACTGTGAGACAAAGAACCTCCAAAGATGGTTTTATTTGTGTGAGGACCCATTCTCAGCTGGTGTTGACCCTCACACAGCAATGCCCATACTTTATATCTTTCTCCACATCAATACCAACAATACATTTTCCAGCATCATCTCATCCCTTCCTGCAGATTGTGCCATTTGAATGCAGAGAGTATGAGTGTATTTGCTCCTTGCCATCATATGCAAACACTGCTATTAATAAATTATAATCAAATTATTACTATGAGTTAATCTATACAGTTTATGTGTAATCAAATAAATACTACCCCTTTAGTTGAAAGTTGCTTAAAGAGATTAGGCTAAATCCAAAAATTTTAGTGTTTATAAGAGAATATCTCCCATTATCCTCCACTGCCATGGCTTCCTGAGTTGCCTGAGAAACACGTGCACACATTAATGTTGAAGAGCGTAGCATATGTATCTGTGTATGTGTGTTCACGTGTTTGAAACAAAGAGGAGATTAATAAATTCCAAAACCCTCTTATCTTGGCTTCTCTGGAACTTAGTTCATAAAATACCAGTTTGCAAGTGTAGTTGTCTGTCAACCACAAAAAATACTGAATACTGAATACAATCGCCTACTGTTCTCAAGCTCCAATTCCTAACGTAAATGCATACAATTACATTTTCTCTTATTCCAAGATGTAGGACATGCGAAAGAAGATCCAGATAATGTTAAGATTACGATGGTGGTTATTAAAAACATCAGACACAAAGAAATCTGTTTTACTCTTTTAACTAGTAGAACTCTAGAAAGAGCAGGAAATGAGACATAAATAATAAATATATATTTCTATGTCTAAGCTGGGTAAAAGCTCAGGAACACAACAGTGTAGGTAATCTCACTGGGGTCTGTATGCAAGAACCTACAGGCACCACAAAAAAAAAGCACAGATGTGAGAAAAAAATCTAAGATCAAAATAAAACACCAAATCTATATACCACATTCGTAAAAAATAATAGTTAAGGCATAAAAGCAAGCAAAACAATTATTCTAGAAGGGACTGGAACCGTTCTGTCACTTTGCTGTCGCTTGTCTAGAATTAGTATTTTGTTGAGATGAATACGGGGGCTTTCTCTTCCTCAGATCTGCAGGGTTGTCAGCAAGCCACTCCTATGGACAGTGTGTGTACGCTCGGCAGCAAGATGTGGAGGTGGAGACACTGCTGAATCTCTCTGAGCATTGGGACAGAGTAACTAAGGATGAGGAAGAGGAACAGACAAAACTGAAGGCCTACCTCAGGTAAGATGGCAGCAATACCAAGACAGCCCTGAGAACTTTGCCAGGTGATACTCTGCCTCCTGAGAGACATTTGTTGAAGAATGAAAAAGATAAAAATTCCTCATCTGTGAGCATCCTACCAATCAGAATGAATAGGTAGAGGGTGGCTATTAAATTATCATCTCACTAGCCACCTCTTCTTGAATTACAGTAAGGCCTCAGGCGGAAAAAAAATCAGTTGTTATTTCTCAAACACAGATTCAGATATCACATTACTGCTCTTCCTCTCTTTTGTACATACTTTTAAATATTGAAGATGAAAAGAATAAATGTTTTAGTTTTGAAAATTATCTTGAGTATATAATTCTCACTGTAATATATTTTTAATTAGAATTAATACAGGAACTGTATATTTTTATTTAATCAATGAGAGATGTGACTACAGAGGAATGTGATTGATTTTATTTAATCAGTATCTTTTTAATATTAAATAGAATACACAGAACAGATAATTAGTTTAAAAGATGCATTTGCCTTCAGGGCACATATTAAGTTCAATTTAATATTGAAGAAATTTTAAAATCCTATTATTCTTAAGTACGTATTAGGATATTTCTTGCCTTTGTATTTTCTAATATGTAATCATTTTAAATTGACAATTTAATCCAAATTGTCACAGGACAAAGAGAAATCTTTAGTGGAGATTATTGGACGTTTTAGTTAATATTATAGGGAGGCAGTACTCACATTTAAAGAGTCATCATTTATTTCAAGACTAAAGTAAAATTATCAAAATTAGGCCTACACTTATGTATGAAAATTCATAATTTTAGTAAGGTGCCTTTATATTTGAAATCTCATTTACCTCTCTTATTGAACCAAGCTAGCCTATTTTCAGATTATGAGCAACCGTTTAAAATAAAATTAAATGATTAGCATCCAAAATTAAGAGTTAGAAACTCATTTTGCCAGCCAATACTCTCAATATTCAAATAACAGAAAAATAATTTTACGTCACTGGACCTTAAGATATAGCTCAGTGGTCCTGAAGCTGCCTAGCACACTAAGGTCCAGGTTTGGTTCTGAGTGCAGCACACATGCATGCATATGAACACATGCACACACACACGCATGCAGGCACACACACTCGTGCACACACACACACAAACACACACATTCAAGCACACACACTCGTGCACACACACACACAAACACACACATTCATGCACACACACATGCACGTGCACACATACATGCTCACACACACAAAGTGATGAGAGAAAATGACAGAGACAAACACACATACACATAAACACACACACATACACACAGAGATAGAGACAGAGAGAGACCCATGCACATAGCATTACTTCTATAAATAAGTTCCCACTTTCTGCACGATCAAAATTAAAATATCTTTAAATGTTAATGAAGAATTCAAAATATGAAGGAAAATCAAATAAAGCCCTGGTAAAGGTCAATACGGATGAATTCAGCACACCTTTTCCTGCAGTGGTATTCGGAAAGTACACACACACACACACACAAAAAAAAACTATTTTAAACTGTGTACTTTCTTTTACTTCAAGCACATATCACTGACATTAAAAAATGAGTGATAAGAGTATTTTTAATAAAAGGAAAAAAATATAAAAGAAAAGGAAAGTTAGTATAAAGAAAAAATTTTGCTCCTAAAGGGGAACATAGTCTTAGCTAAAGGGGTCAAGTTATGCTTTACTCAACAATTAGAATGAAACATACTGGGGGCATAACCAGGGTATGATAAACAAACACACTTTAGTTTTTCATGAACTTTCTCTTCTTATTCCAGTTTCACAATTTATGATTTTGTGAGCTCTTCCTATGTAGACTCAAACACACACTCACAACATATTTTTTAAGTGGTTCTTTTGCTACTAGTGCCTTTAGTAACACCCAGGTCGATGTACCATCTGAGCCCAAAAGACGATACATTGCTTTTTATTCCATATAAATACTGTTATAGCCAATTAAAATGTAAGTATCAAAAATAAAACCTTTAGAATTCATAAATAGTAGAGACTTGTGTCCTTCTTTCGAAAGCAGATTTTTTTCATACCCTATATCCTGATTTTGGAGTCCCCTCGTTCTGCTCCTCTCAGTTTCTCCCCAGTTCCCCTCCCATCCCTATCTACATCCCTCCTTTCTCTCTCTTGTTCGAAAACAAATGGACAACTAAAGAACAATAGTAGAAAGAAAATAAAAACAAATGAGTATAGGACAGAAGGAAAAAGAAAAAGATCCAAAGAAAAAACACAAGGAATGTTCTGTGGTGACATGCAAAATATTCATCAGTATGGTTATGGGCCAAGGCCAGTTCAGGCACCCTACCCTCTGCTGCCCAGGGAACAATCTGGGGACCTCTCCTTGGGCCTGGGAACCCCTCCAGAATCAAGTCTCTTGCAGACCCTAAAATGGCTCCCTTAATTGAGATATAAACTTCCCTACTCCCAGAACCATCCTTCCTCCCTCCCCCTCCTATTCCCCCAAGCCATCCCCAATCCTCCCCCTCTCCCCTCTCCCTAACCATCTCTCCTTACTTCCACAACCCCACCCCCACCCCCGTGCACCCAAGTTTGCCTGGCAATCTTGTCTACTTCTAATATCCAGGAGGATAACTATATGATTTTCTTCAGGCTCACCTTCTTACTTAGTTTCTCTAGGATCACAAATTATAAACTCAAAGACCTTTAACAATGGCTAGAATCCACTTATGAGTGAGTACATACCATATTACTCTTTTTGTGTCTGGGTTACCTCACTCAGTAAAGCGTTTTCTATTTCCATCCATTTGCATGCAAAATTCAAGATGTCATTGTTTTTTACCGCTGAGTAAAACTCTACTGTGTATATGTTCCACACCTTCTTTAACCATTCTTCTATTGAGAGGCACCTAGGTTGTTTCCAGGTTCTGGCTATTACAAATAGTGCAGCTATGAACATAGTTGAACAAATACTCTTGTAGTATGATAGGGCATCTCTTGGATATATTCCCAAGAGTGGAACTGCTGGGTCCTGAGGGAGGTTGACTCCCAGTTTCCTGAGGAACCGCCACACTGCTTTCCACAGTGGCTGCACAAGTTTGCATTCCGACCAACAATGGATGAGTGTTCCCCTCACTCCACATCCTCTCCAGCATAGGCTATCATTGTTGTTTTTGAGTTTGGTTATTCTGACAGGTGTAAGATGGTATCTCAGAACCTTCATATGGCGAAGGATGGAGATAGAGACAGAAACACATATTGGAACACTGGACTTAACTCCCTAGGTCCAAATGAAGAACAGAAGGAAGGAGAACATGAAAAAGGAAGTCAGGACCGCGAAGGGTGCGTTCACCCACTGATACAAGGGACTGATCTAATGAGAGCTCACCAAGGCCAGCTGGACAGGGACTGAGCGAGCATGTGATCAAACCGGATTCTCTGAATGTGGCTGACATGGGGGCTGACTGGGAGGCCAGTGACAATGGCACTGGGTCTTGTTTCGTCTGTATGGACTGGCTTTTTGGGATCCTGGTCTGTTTGGATGCTCACCTTCCTGGACCTGGAGGGAGGGGGAAGGAACTTGGATTTCCCACAGGGCAGGAAACCTTCCTGCTCTTGGGAATGGTGAGGGAGGAGGAGAGGGAGTGGGGGAAGTGGAAGGGTATTGGGAGGAAGGGAGGAAGTGGAAATTCTTTAAATAAATAAATAAGGACAAAAAACACAAGGAATGCATACAGGCACAGAACCACACAGGTTTACACATCATAAACACACAAAGCAGGAAAACAATGTATACCCGCAACGATTGTAAGATTAAAGTAAAAAATCCCTGGCCAAGCATTATAAGACAAACAATTTCCAAAAAATTGCCAATGAGCTTGTTTCTTGTTGGCATTGACTGCTAGGCATGGGGTTTGTATAACGCGTGCAATGCCACTTGCAAAGACATGGCCACTTGGAAAGACAGAGTCTCTTGCACAATCACTCTCTACCAAAGTCAATTTTATAAGCTTGTATTAACAGAAATTTAATGACAACATTACTTTACTTGTGCTAGGGAGATCAGTTGAAAAAGAACCTTGACCAACAAATTTATGGATCTAAACTCCATCCCTAGAATCCAAGTAAAATAGCTGGAATGGTAACATATGATTTTAATCTCAGCCCCAGGATGGTGGAGACAGGAAAATGCCCAGGCTTAACTGAGCAAGAGGCCTAGCATACTTGGCAATCTCAAGGCAAATAAAGGCTTTGCTTTAAAAAATACTTCTCCCTAAAAGCAAGACACAAGTAACATTATATGAACTGAGCTGATGGTATTTAGGAACATATCTTCATATACATGTTCATGTATGCATACCCTAAGAGACAGACTGTGTATTTGAAAGAGAGCGGCAGGAGGACTTAAGAGGGTTGGAAGGGAGGAAAAGCAAAGGAGGACTGATGAATTACAGCCTCAATTCTTTTAAAAATGAAAAATTATTTCTACATATTTTACTCTTAATTGAGTTTCATTTTATTTTGATCTCAGTGTCTTTCATTGTTCTATGCTCTCTCCATGGAACTTGAAATAGTCTAATAAAATTTTAATTTAAAAAGATTCCCCAAAACACATTTGCACCAACACACACTACACACACACACATACACACAGACAGACAGACAAAGAGAGAGAGAGAGAAAGAGAGAGAGAGAGAGAGGACTTTGACCGTGATCACTTTACCATTTCGTCTATTAATAAGTATATAGGAGCAGCACATTTATGTTTGATTTGAACATCTACATATATAAAAACTGAGTCTACTGAAAGAGAAATTATGAATAACTAAAAGCAATAAGAGAGAGAAGGGAATCCTCCTTCCAAAAGCTAACATAGCAAATTAATACCTATACATCTGTTACCCATAATATATCTATAATGTTTTCTGTTATGCCCACTGTTCCTCTTCAAAAATCATGACTAGTTCTATAATTCTCTTCCTGTATATAACAGTGTAC